CCCTGGGACACTGTCTGGCTGAAGAGCCGATCAGCAAGTCAAGGTTTATGATAAAGCTTCATTATCACACCTGACACAGCTGATTACATCGCGGATCCTCCTTCCTCCTCCCCTTCACACAATGCAGGCTCAGAAGGCCGTGGGTCTTGCCCTATGTCAGGGGTCAATGTTGGCTCCAGAGAGACTTCTGACCATTTGCTCACCATTGCCAGCATCTAGGCAGTGCCTCAACCATAGCACGTGTTCAATAAACCTCAGATGAATGAATGAATGATGAATAAATGAATGAATGAATGAATGAATGAATGAATGAATGGAGCTCGGCTCTGCATCCAGGTCTCCTGGTTCTCAGTCCAGGGGATGCAGAGTAAGAGCCACCCACTCCTCTGCCTTATGCTTCCCTCTTACCACTCAGCAAAGCCCAGCATTCCGTCTCCCAAATGCTTTCCGAGCAAGACCCAGGATCTGTCAGCCACACCTCGAAACTAACACGTACGGCCCCTCTGGCCCTGATGCACCCGTCTTCTGTGAAGAGTGCCGCGTGTGTTTAATCGTGCGCCTCCGTCGCGCATGCCGGTCCCTGCTCGGCTGGGGCAGTGGCAGGGGCCACCCTGCACGGGGCAGTCTCTGCTGGCTCCTTACAGGCCATCAGCCTGGAGTCCCTTCTGAAGTCCCTTCCTGGCCTCAAGATTCCATGACCAGGCCTCTGGAGCTGGCCACTCCTTGGACCCGAGCCCATGGGGGCCCCTGGGGCCACCGCACCCGTATCGCTTTACCCTGCTGTACTATTTCGTACTTGATCTTCTGGCTGCTTCTGCGAGTTTGTTTTGTCTTCCTGCCTAGATAATAAACTCAAGGCCAGGGACTCGCTGACCAAATAACAGAGACAAAGGCAGGCGTTCTGGGCTTGCATCACCCGATTCTTTTTAAAACCCTCCCACTTCCAGGCCGAGATCCTTCATCCTTGTCAACAAGCTTATCAACAGGCGTGACTCACCCCTAGAGGGTGACCTCAATGCTGGGAATGAACAGAGGAAGCGCCATCAAAAATTGCTATAGATTATTTCCAGAAAGTTTGCATATTTGCCTCTTTGGGGGCACTCCCAGACATGTGGACCTGGAAGACCATCAGGCAGGAAGGAGAGGACGTGGCAGCAGAATGGGGAGTGAGGACAGGGAGAGGCAGGCAGATTCAGGACTCGGAAACCGGCAAGGAGGGGTGTGCAGGATTTGGAGACGGGCGAGGGGGGTGTGCAGGATTTGGAGACGGGCCTGGCAGCCATCCAGGTCAGCTGAAGCCACCCCCCCAACCCGGTCCCCCCTCTTCATGGCCTCGTCTCAAGACCTCCTTCTGGGGTTCTGCCCACCCCACCTTCCTGAGCTCCTGCCTCCTGGGCGGCACCACCAGTCCACACCAAATGCGACCAATACTTTATTCGCACGCTAGAAATAAGCCAGTACAAACCACAGTTAAAAAAATTAATTTGGTGCTAAAAAACCCCACCCCAGTCCCACATATCTGTTCTCTGGGCCGTCCAGGAGCCTCAGCTTTTCTGGGCCTCCTGCAGGAGCCTGAGCAGGGGGTCATCCGCCCTGAGGGCAAAGGTGAGGGTGCGCTGCTGGTAGTGCTCCGGGTCGCGCTCCAGGTTCTCGATCACCTCTGCCAGCAGGTGGGCCCGCTCCACCCCCGAGCCGGGGGCCTCGAAGCCCAGGGCGGTGAAGTGCACGTGCAGGTGGTAGTAGGAGGGCAGATAGTGCAGGTACACGCGGAGGCGGTCCCCCTTCACCTGGTACCGCTGTAGGATGGCTTCCTGGGAGAAGGGAGTGGCGGGAAAGGGTCACTGCGCTGCCCACGAAGCAGCACCAGCCCCTCCTCCTGCCCTGACCCAAGACTCGCCTCCGGGCATCTAACAAAACCCACACACGGCCCTCTGCCCACTGCGTGCTGCAGGTCCCTGCCTTCCCGCCATGGATTCAGAGCAGGCAGGTGACAGCCAAGCTGAGGCTCTTTCTTTTAAAAAAAAAAGATGCCCTAACCGGTTTGGCTCAGTGGATAGAGCGTCAGCCTGCAGACTAAAGGGTCCCAGGTTCGATTCTGGTCAAGGGCATGTACCTTCGTTGTGGGCACATCCCCAGTAGGGGGTGTGCAGGGGGCAGCTGATCAATGTTTCTCTCTCATCGATGTTTCTAACTCTCTATCCCCCTCCCTTCCTCTCTGTAAAGAAGAAAAAAAGATATTTTTATTGATTTCAGAGAGGAAGGGAGGAGAGAAATATAGAAACATCAATGATGAGAGAGAATCATTGATTGGCTGCCTCCTGCACACCCCCTACTGGGGATCGAGCCCACAACCTGGGCAGTACCCTTGACCGGAATCGAACCAGGGACCCTTCAGTCCGCAGGCCGACGCTCTATCCACTGAGCAAACCAGCAAGGGCCCCCACATGAAGGGACAGTGGCAGGATCAGGGCTCCCCACCCCACTTGGATAAACATTTGTTTCCTCACGCAGCTCCTGCTGGAAATCTAGACAGTCCAGGGCCTAAGAACGGCCCCACAGACCCAGGCTGGGACGGTCCGTCAACACGAAAAGCACCAGGTGGGTGGAGGAAGCCTCGCCCCCTCAGCCTGCAGCAGAGTGAGGCTCGGGCAATGGGCATGGCTGAGCGAGGGCCTTAGTAAGAGAACAAGGATGGGCCAGACGCCTGGCAGGAGGGGAGCCTGACTTTGGCCCCTGCTCCCTCGGCCCCCACCTTGTGCATGGGTAGGGCTTCTTTCCTTTTTTTAAAAATTATTTTATTTTCATAATAGGTCTTTAAAAAAAGATCGTTACCTGAGGACATGTTCACTGATTTTCAATGGGAGGGGAAGGAGAGGGGAGGGAAGGAGGGAGAGGGGGCAGGGAGAGAGAGAAACATTGACGTGAGAAACATCTATAGGTTGCCTCCCACATGCATCCCAACTCCGGCTGGGGATCGAACCTGCAACCTAGGTATGTGCCCTGACCAGGAACTGAACCCACAACCTTTCAGTGTAAGGGACGATGCTCCAACCAACTGAGCCACACTGGCCAGGGCAGAGGTAGGACCTTTCGTATCAAACCCCTTTCCCGGAGTCCCCAAGGCTTAGAGTTAAGAGGAGATTCTGGTTTCCACTGTGGGCAAATCCTTCAGGAGGTCAGAGGTGAAGAGGAAAGAACTAGGGCCCCCGTGGGCTCGGGATGCACACCAGAACAGCGTTCTGTATATGGCACTCGGGCCAGGCCGACCCCCAAAGGCTTTGTGGGATAAGCGGGGACGGCCGCAGAGCTGCCAGCGCAGCTGAAGTGCTGGCCTAGCATCTCCCCAGAAGGAAGACGCACTCTCTGCCACCCAGAGGCTGTTACAGGAGAAATGAGCCATTCCAACCAGACAGGCAGCCAGAGAGGTGTGACAGGGAGCTGGGGTCAGAGGTCAACAGAGAGAGGACCCAGCAGAGCCCTTCCTCCAAGTGATCCAAGCCTGGGAGCAACGCTGTGGAAGGAGCACCAGGACTGCAGGCCTGGGCACTGGGGTGTGTGTGTGTGTGTGTGTGTGTATGTGTGTGTGTGTATATGTGTGAATGTGAGTGTGTGTGTGAGTGCGTGTGAGAGAGTGTGTGTGTGTGTATGTGTGTGTGAGTGTGTGTGTGTGAGTGTGTGTGTATGTGTGTGAGTGCGTGTGAGTGTGTGTATGTGTGTGTGTATGTGTGAGTGCGTGTGAGAGTGTGTGTATGTGTGTGTGTATGAATGTGAGTGCGTGTGTGTGAATGTATGTGTGTGTGAACGTGAGTGTGAGTGCATGTGAGTGTGTGTGCGCGCGCGCGCGTGACTTGTGAGTGTGTATGTGTGCGTGTGTGAATGTGAGTGTGTGTGTGTGTGAATGTGAGAATGTGTGTGTGAGTGTGTGTATGTGTGTGAGTGTGTGTGTGAGAATGTGTGTGTGTGAATGTGAGTGTGTGTATGTGTGTGTGTGTGTGTGTGTGAATGTGAGAGTGTGTGTGTGAGAGTGTGTATGTGTGTGTGTATGTGTGTGAATGTGAGTGTGTGTGAGAGTGTGTATGTGTGTGTGAATGTGAGTGTGTGTGAGAGTGTGAGTGTGTATGTGTGTGTGTGAATGTGAGAGTATGTGTGTATGTGTGTGTGTGTGTGTGAATGTGAGTGTGTGTGAGAGTGTGAGTGTGTATGTGTGTGTGTGAATGTGAGAGTATGTGTGTGTGTGTGTGTGTGTGTGTGAATGTGAGAGTGTGTGTGAGTGTATGTGTGTGTGTATGTGTGTGAATGTGAGTGTGTGTGAGAGTGTGAGTGTGTATGTGTGTGTGTGAATGTGAGAGTGTGCGGTGTGTGTGTGTGTAGGGGACCTTCAAATGTTCCAAGTGGAAAAAAGGCCGAGAACAAGCCCCCAGAATGGAGGCTTCAGAAGGATCCTACCCAGATAGTGAGACCGAGGGAGGTGAGGCCCAAGGTCAGCCAGCTGACTTGGGTCAAAATGTCAGAACCAGGGCCACATCCCTGGATTCTAGTCTCTCTTCCCCCATCTTCCCTCCCCTCGGGGCTCCTTTCGGCACCCTCAATAGTCACCCCACATAGACGGCATCCCAAATCTCAGGAGTGAGAGAATACAGCCTCGGCCCACAGGCTAGAGTAGAGGCGGTTCCTGCATTCACACGTCAGAGCCATCGATCCAGCTACAAGAAACACGGCTGCATGGTGTGGCTGTCACAGCCAGACTGGCAATCCCGGGCTGGGCGAGCGCCCAGACGGGACCTGCTGGAGAAGGCAGGGCACTGAAGTGGGAACTTAAGAGGAGGGTGGGGCAGGACAGGCGGCAGGGCCTGGAAAGAGCCTGTGTGTATCCCACACTGACTCTGAGAAAGAAGCCCCCGTCGCAGACACCCTCCTGGGAAGGGCAAGGAGATACAGGGAACACACTGAAAGCAGAGGGTAATTCCTCTGGGCTTTGATGTGTTGCCAGGGCAACTCACCTGCCCCTCCCGGAGGATGTTCCTGAGCAGCGGCAGGTGCTCCGCGGTGAGGTCCCGAAGCGACCTGATGCCCCGGCGGTGGCAGATGGCGATCAGGTACAGGTCATCCAGCTGCAGAGAGCAGGGGTACAGCAGGCTCAGCGGGCGACAGAGCCGGGGAGGCGCCAATCCTGGAATCCCCCAGCGAAGCCAGCAGCGCCCACCCCCACGCCTGCAGTGCCAGCCACAGCCTGCCCCAGGGACCCCAAAGCAGGACTGACCCCCAGCGATGTGGGAGTCCACGTGCCCCGTGAGTGGATGGTCTAAGGAACGGAACTTCTGCCCATTCCTCCTGCAAAGGAATACCCTAAACTCAGAGTTGATGGGGCTCAAGTGCCAAGGACAACACTTCCCTGCAGGAGTTCAGGGTCTAATCGCATGGGCACAAGTAACTACTCAGACATGAGGTGAGAGAAGTACAGGAAGAAGGAAGACCGGCGAGGGCCATCCGGAGAGGCGTCCTGGAGGAGGCGGCGGGGATCTGGGTCTTGAAGAGGTAGGTTTACAGGAGGGGCAGTCAGGGAGAGGGGACAGTGAGAGCAAAGGCTCGGAGGCAGGAGAGCACAGTGCTACAGTCAGAGTAAGCAACCCGATCTGTCGGGACTCAAAGGCGGGTGAAGGCCTGTGAGGGTGGAAAGGGAGCCAGGACCAGCTCGGCAGGGGCACCACCAGAGCCGCACTAACCTCTCCTCCCTTCCCCTACCTCCCGGCCCGGCAGCCCTTCCCACTGTCCTTCCTGAAAACAGCACCTGGCCACAACCTGGAGGTCACAACACTGCAAAGACCCAAAGTCGACAAGATGGTGCCCAGGACAGAAATGAACTCCTCTGGCCCAGAATCCGTCCCCACCACGCCCCGCTCGCCCAAACCCTGGCCTTGGCTGGCGGTCGCGTTCCGTGCGTGCGTGTGAGGCAGGCCCTGACTCCGGGGCTCGGGGGGAGGCCTGGGGCAGCTCCAGCAGCACTCAGCCCTGCCTCTAAGATGCCAGATTCCTCAACGAGATGAGACAGCCTGGGGACCCGACCAAACCCTGAAGGGCCCCGAGTTCAAAAGTGAGAATGAGACTTTCCAGATGGCACCTGATGGCCAGCGGTGCCTCTTCCTGCCAGCAGTCCCTTCCTGCCCCAGACGCTCTCCTCTGCCAGGGCTCCCAGAGCTGGGCTCCCTGCGCCAGGCCTGCTACACACGGGCCGTGGGAGCCTCAGGCAGATGACAGAGCTGTGCCAACAGGCCTCCCTGGCCCACAAGTCCCTTCGGTGCTCCCCCTTTTCACGACATGTGTCCAGGACATTTACTCTCTCACGAGGTAGAGGCCCAGGAGAAGCCAGGGGAAAAACTGCTTGAACTCGGGGCGTGGGTGTGTGTCTGTGGGTGTCTTCAGTTGTTCCATGTGTCACTATCACAGGACTTCCAAATAGCAGTAGCCTTTGTTTTAGATGCCGTCTGCTGGCCGTCCAAACAGGACCTTCAGTCGCACCCACTGCTCCCTGACGTGGACTGAGGCATGCAGCCTGGTGCTGGGTGTCAGCTCACGGCTGGGTGTGGAAGGGAAAAAAAGCCATTCTCTGATATCAGACATTACTTCAGATTTTCTGCAGCCAAAGGGCCTCTGGCTCAGAGAAATTCTCTGAAAAAGCTAGACAAGGGGCCGGCAAGGGTCTCGGATTGGCACCCCAGAAGGTGGCCCAGAAGTCAGTCTTCACACCATCAATCTCGTTTTACAAGGGAGGACAGCGGACTCGGAGCAGCAGCTTCCTGGCTCGGGCTGAGGGGGAGAAGGCGATTGGCCGGAGCTTCGGAGGGAGAGTCCTCCCTCCGCCCCTGGGTGACCCAGCAGGGCAGTGTCCGGTGCTGAGGTCCTTAGACCAGAGAACCCGAGTCCCATGACCTGAAAGGGCATGTGTGCCTCCATAAACACACACACATGCCCCTACATACAATAGGGAAAGGCTCTCTGGAAGGACAAAGAAATGCTCTCTTCTGGGGAAGGGAAGTGGAGGCATGTGGGGTGACGACCTTACTCTCCCTGCACACCTTGGTATGTGCACCTTCACCCTGTGCATGTATGAACCAGACCTACAGAAAAACATAAAATACGCAGGCGAGCCCTTAAGACAGCGGTTCTCAACCTGTGGGTCGCGACCACTTTGGCGGTCGAACGACCCTTTCACAGGGGTCATCTAAGACCATCCTGCATATCAGATATTTACATGACGATTCATAACAGTAGCAACATGACAGTGATGAAGTAGCAACGAAAATAATTTGATGGTTGGGTCACAACATGAGGAACTGTATTTAAAGGGCCAGAAGGTTGAGAACCACTGCCTTAAGAGAACTGAGGAAGGGATATATAACCTCCAGAAAGGCAGAGGTCTGGCACACATTAGGGGCATGGCAGGTATTCGTGGCACGGACGGATGGATGGACAATGGACATACGGACGAAGAGTCTTGCTAATTAATCCCGAGTCATCAGCTGCGGGCTACATAAATACAGGGTATACCCCCAAAATGTACACACCGCTGAGTCCTATTACATTTTGAGAATGAAATGTATTTTAATACACTTAGTGCAATGTAATAAACACTGGCTTCATAATTATTTGAAGTGAGTACACATTTTTGGGGACACCCTGTATGTAAAGACATCCTCCTGGGAGAAAGAGCAGCAGGAGGTGCCAGGTGAGCAGAGAGCCTCCCCGAAGAAAACACAGATGTACTGCTCTCCTCCACCCCTGCCTAGGGAGGAGGAGGTGACGTCCAGCCCGCCGTCTCCCTGCTGGAGACACTGCCTAATTGTCAGGTTCTGTCGCAGGGCAAGGATCTGAGACAGTGACATATGGCATTACCAAGAGACCGTGCTAATTAAGCAAAGGTTAAGAACAATGGCACCTATATTACCATCAAGGAAAGTCTGACTTAAAAAAAATATTTAAAGAGAGGAAGGCAGAGGGAGGGAGGGGAAGGGGGAGGAAGGGAGAAAGAGAGAGAGAGAAAGCTCAGTTGCCTCCCACATGCACCCCAACCAGAGACCAAAATCTGGGTATTTGCCATGACCTTGAACCAGTGACCTTTTGGTGCACGGGATGACGCTCACCCAACTGAGCCCCACGGGCCAGGGCAAAAGCCTGACATTCAGCCTGCCCATCCTCGATCGCTGAGGACCAGTCCAGACCTGCGCTGGATGCCAGTGCCGCTCCTGAAGCCTCTCTGTCTTAAAGGAACAGAGGCAGGATGCCTGCCGGCACCAGGTCAGAGGACCCCGATATGCCTTCTCAGTGCCGTGGGCTTCTAGAATGGAGACGCACAAGTCGGTCTCCTGCTGTCCCTCAGGCCACCCCCGCTGCAATCACAAGCTCAGATCTTGTGAGTCTGGAGTCCCTCCCACCCCACCCCCACCTCCCGTGACCAGGCTGCAATCCAGGACCTCCAGGCACAGGGCTGCTGGGGGCAGACAGGGTTTGCACAAGGCATGGCCCACTGCTGCCACCAGCATCCCCAGGGCCTGTCCCAGCTCCCCCAACATCTCCAGGGCCAGTCCTGGCTTCCTCTGTGGAGGCTTGAAGTGGGGCTCAGCTGCAGGGGAGGGGAGGTTGGGGGCCGCCTCTCTCACTACTGCACCCCACATCTTTTTTTAAAAAATGTATTTTATTGATTTTTTACAGAGAGGAAGGGAGAGGGATAGAGAGTTAGAAACATCGATGAGAGAGATCAATCAGCTGCCTCCTGCACACCCCCCACTGGGGATGTGCCCACAATCAAGGTACATGCCCTTGACCATAATCGAACCTGGGACCCTTGAGTCCACAGGCCGACGCTCTATCCACTGAGCCAAACCGGTTTGGCTGCACCCCACATCTCGCCTAGCTCTCCAACTCCTGGAAACTCCCTTCATTTCCTACCACCCCGAACCACGTTCAGGAAGCCCCACAGCACTGGTAAGACAGCTGGTGCTCACGAGCCTATGCGCCTGAGCCGAGAGGCTGGCCCGGTGCCCAGCCACGGGCTCCCAGCCCCCATATCTGGCATTGAAGGGGGCACGGCAGGTACGGAAATCACCCAATCAAAGCCAAGCAGACTGCCGGTGAGCCCAGTAAGGACCTAAAGGCCCCAAGAGCCGACTGAGCAGGCCGGGGCTGAGAAAGAAGGGGGAGGCGTCCTGGGCGAGGCGGGCAGGGCCCACCCTCCCGGAGGATGCCTCTGCAGGTCCCATGACTGCCAGAGCAGTGCAGAAACCAGAAGGGCCCACCCTCCGGAGGATGCCTCTGCAGGTCCCATGACTGCCAGAGCAGTGCAGAAACCAGAAGGGCCCACCCTCCGGAGGATGCCTCTGCAGGTCCCATGACTGCCAGAGCAGTGCAGAAACCAGAAGGGCCCACCCAAAAGCAGAACGGAAACCCAAGCTGGAATCTCAGAGTCCAGTTAGAGGAGGGGGGCATCTATCTACTCCCCACTTCCTACTCGGTGATTCCGCCTCTGGCCTCCATGGCCTTCTCCTGGCCCGACCTGCTGCAGGCTGCATCCGGCCCCATGCAGGCGGTGGCGGGAAGCGTACCCCCTGCAGGCCGCTGTCTGCTGTTCTTCAGCAGGGCATGCAGGCCCACCCAGGGGGGATGGTACACTGTGACTGCAGCGGGCAGGTGCAGGGGAATGAGGGTGGGAGGAGAGAAGGTGGAGAGACAGAGAGGCTACAGAGAACTGGGAGGGACAGAGAGAAGGTGGCTCCCCGGAAGCCACCTTAGTGCTCCTTAGTGGGTGGAGCGGCAGCAGGCACATGGAGACCAGGAAACACGGGGGAGAGGCTCAGGGAGGAGGAGCTGCCGGGCCTCCTCTGTAACTAGGGCAGTGCAGGGGATGCCACAGGCTGTTCGCCGTGACTGCTGCCTGTCACTAGTTCAGACCATGGGCCGGCCCGGGTCTGCTGGTGTCTAGGGAGAGGAAGGAAAGCAAACAGCCCAGCACAGGCTCCAGAGAGTGAGAGTGGCCACCCAAGCCACGTGGCTGGCTAAGGAGCAGCCCGGGTGGTTATATAAACATCGCCTCATCCCCGCCTCCCCTTCCCCCAACCGCACACAGACCCAGTGGGGGTGGGGGCTGGAGGAGACAGAAAGGGCGTTAAAGTGCCCGCTGAAGCATAAACACTCCGTATGACAGGTATGCATTCGCGTGCAGAGCTCAGACCTCTCCCCGCTGGTTAAGGACAATCTGCTTAGAGAGTGCGAGACCAATGGGGGAAAGACGGTGGCTTAAGGTAGGATTACGGTGGGTCATTGACCCGACCCGGAGCAGGACACTGAGAGCAGAGAACCCAGCAGGAAATCTCTTACCTGCTGTTGGTTCCACTTGAGGTCGGGGATGAGGACAAAGCCGTCAGCGGGATCTGGGTTCTCAAAAACAATCCGGTCGGCTTCCGCCTTCTTGTCGAGAATGTTGTACACCCACTGGTGGCAGAGGGAGAGAGGGTTCCTATCCCGTCACCACCCCAGGCTGGGCTAGGGAAGCTCTCTGGCCCCTCCAGGAAGGACAGCCACTGAGCTCAGGGCATCCACCTCAGGCTGCCCTGTCCCACTGCTGACACTCGGTCACCAGCCATCCCCACAAGGCCCCGGCCGTGCAGAGGGCGCTGGCTCTTTAGCTCCTGCTGGTCAGCAGTGTGCATACACTCTGCTGCGGCCACACAGGCCCGGTCCTCATCCACCCTCCACTGCCCACAGATCCGGGGGAGAGCGTCTCCACAGGCCCCTCCCACATTACTCGGGACACAGCAAATGATCAGGTTGGGGTTCCCTCTGCACAGGAAGCTGGCTCCATGCCAGGGCAGATTCTAGATAAAGTGTGGGATCCTCGGAGAGGCCGCCCCACTGGGATTCGCAAAGTGGCTGCCTACCTGGCGCCACAGCAGTCTCCGCTGACATGGCCCCTGTGTAACAAAGCAGACCTGCCCCAGCCAGTATGGCTCCATGGTTGAGTACTGACCTATGAACTAGGAGGTCACGGTTCGATTCCCGGTGGGGGTACATGCCCGGGTTTCGAGCTCAATCCCCAGTGGGGGGCGGGCAGGAGGCAGTCGATCAATGATTCTCTTGTCTACCCAGGATTCTGGCCTCCCACACCCCTTAGATCTGCTGCTGCTGAGTCTTAGGGAGCCCTTCCTTGGGTAGTGTGGATCCCAAGGACATCAGTTTACAATCAAGGTCCTGATGGCCTCTCTGAAGAAGCCTCCTGCAAGGAGGTTAAGATAAGGACCCTGTTCTCCAGGGCTCAAACCCCCAGACCACAGACCTCAGCATTTCTCCACTTCCCCCAGCTCTGAGCACTCTTTGCAAAAGAGACTTCTTCCCAGGACTGTGAACTCCATGCCAGAAAGCCTAGAGAACCCTGCTGGAAAGCCAGACAGAGGCAGCGCTGGGCTCACACTGCTGCCCCTGCGCCTGTCACCACGGCCTCCACACTCATGCAGGGGTGAAACGGGGCGCCAGGGCATTGACACCAACACCCGTGGAGGGCTCCTCTGCCCACTTCCTGAAGTGGGGACACAGCCGTTTAGGGTCTGCACACCTCATCCCGGAAGTCTGCATCCTTGGCTGTCAGCTCCTGGCCAGCACGGCCAAGGTCAAGTGCAGCTTTCTGGGCTGGAGAGCTAGGAGCAGAGGGGCCTGCAGGGACTAGCTGGGCCTCCCAGGCTCCTGGCAGGACCCACACCAGGTCACAGGTAGGCCACCCACTACAGAGAAAAAAGGCCGCACCCCGAGAAGAGCCTGGCCGCCCACTCCCTGGGAGAGGTCTGGAGGGTGAAGAGGACCGAACTTCTGCCTTTGGGGAACTGACTTTTAACCTGTGAATTAAGAAACAAGTCTCAGAAAGAAACTTTGGCCCTCCCGCCTTTCCTGCCTAAGAGATGCGGAGAGTGGCACCTAGTCCAGGGCTGGAGTCTCGGGATGTTCACCTTAGCAGCCTGATTTGAACTGGGTTTGGTAGGTGGAGGCGACCAGGCTGACGGGGGGAAAGGGAAGGAGAATGAGAACAGAGATGGCGCTGACCTCCGGGCAAGACTGTCGTGGGTGCGAGGATGGAGCGGCGACACCAGGCGGGCGGTGAGGAGCGCAGTCTTACGCCGAGCCGGGCCCTGCTCCAGTGCCTCCCGGGGCTGTCCTCGCAGCAATCCTGGAAATGCGGGGCTGTGAGCACCCCATTTTGCAGGTAAGGGAAAGGCAGGGAATGGAAGTTCACACAATTCTAAGCCAGAGCCTGGTCTCGGAGCCCACGCTCCAGGCTGCATGGGAAAGGCCTCTGGGGGAGCAGGAGGGACCTCAATCCACGCATCTCAGCCAGGACCCGGGATGAGAAAGGGTGAGCCAGGGAACAGGATTCCCACATCCCGAGGGGCTATGTATGGGGAGTAGCCACCCTCTGAAAGCAAGGCAGGGAGACAGCCACCCGACGATGAGGACCTATGAGCAGCATGGAATGCACCTGGCATGACCTAGCAGTGACACTGGCCACCCTGTCCGGACCCTCTCCTCCCTTGGGGCATCCTGCTTCCTCTTCAAGCTCCTGCTTCTCTGCTCAGCGCCTGCTGGCCCCCTCCTCTGGCCCCGCTTCACCTGCCCGCACCTGCAGGCATCTCAGCTCTGCACTGTTCCGTCCTGTTCCCCGGAACTGTCCCCTGTGCGTGCATAATGGCAGCTGCCACTCTGGCGCCCTTTCTGTGCTGGGAACAGCAGCAGGCCCGTGATACGTGGCACCTCTCTCCATTTCCACCGGGACTGGGTCATGTTCCGACAGGAAACAGGGCTTCCGAAGACCCAGCCGATGCTGATGAAGCCTCGCTCAGTGACTCATTATCGGCTTCTCTCCTGCGCTGAGTCACACCCCCCACTGCCTTTTTCCCGGGCATTTTCACTAGAAGTTCCAGGCACCAAATGTGAGGAGCCTAACAGGGTAGTTGGCTAAGAGCACCGAGGCTGGGGCCAGGCCACCTGGCTTAGAGCGCCCGTCTCCGAAGGGCTGTTGTGGAGATTTTTTGCGGTGATGCACGTAAGGTGCTTAGAACAGTTCGGGCAGCATGTGAGGACTGAACACACTGTCGTCCACATTAACCCTCTCTGCTGTCCACGTCCCCCATCCTGGTTAACAGTCCTACTATCTGTCCCCTCATCGCTCAGGTGGGACCTGGAGCCACCCCAGGCTCTGCCCAGTTCTCCACATCACCCAGTTCCTACGCCTTCCCTCTCCAGTCCTAGGACCTATGTATGGGGAGTAGCTATATATTGGCCCCGAGTGCTACCGCAGCCTTCCCCGCGGCCTCGGCCTCGTCAGACCCATGCTGGCCTCTGGTCCTCCTGCTCCCCCTCTCACCACACTCACCTCACCCGTGATTAAACTGCTCAGGGGACCCTCCCTGGCTATGGCAAGCGTTCTCAAATCTGATGAGCAGCAGAAACACTTTTAAAACACAGATTTCCCAGCTCCACGCCCTGAACGTTCTGGTTCAGCAGATATGGTCTAGGTTCTGTATTTTTAAAAATCTCACCAGGCCGCCCTGATGATGAGCAAGGTGTGGGAACTCCTGGAAAGAGTGCCTCCCCCCGGCCCCTGCTGGCCTTCTTGTGTTGTCCCCTAGGACCCAGCTGGAGGGTCCCTCTGTGAAGCCCCCACTGTCTGAGCTGATCACTCCCCGTGTCACCGCTGCACCTCACATATAAACCACCAAAGTGCTGGTCATCATACTGTCAGACCACATGTCCCTCTTCCCATCAGACTACAGGGGCCTTGTAGTGTCCACCTTGGTGACCCTCCCGAGCCAAGCACAGGGCCTGGCACAGGCAGATGCTCAAGAAACACGATGACTGTTGCCAGCTGAGCTTAGTGCTGGTGAACTCGCTAGAAACAGCCAAGAAACGATACACAAGTGCTCGTGTCAAACGAAGTCGGTAGAGCAGTGGAATTCTGTTGTATTATTCTCCAAAAGGATGTGAATAATGGTGCATAAGGTACATATGACTCACACGACTATATTAAGGGTTTCCTCTCTTGAATCCCAGGGGTGTGCAACCAGCACATAGAACATATATCCCAGGAGATCCCTCTAGGATCCTGACAGCAGAAGCTACCCAGGAAGCTGGAGCATCTCTTTTCCACTCAGAAGGCAGAGCAAGTGCTGGGACTTAAAATTAAAACGTCAAGCCAGCGTGAGCCCGAGGAACCTGGTGCAAACACAGCTCAGGGAACCGCGGCTGACAGCCAGGCTGGGAGAGGGCTGTGGGCACACAGGGCCTCCCGCCCCGCCTGCCGGCCCTCCTCTCCGTCCACCTCATGCGTACATCCCCCTGCACTGCCCCTACAGCCAGGACACCACGTCGCTGGCCCTGGGAGAAATGGCTGTGAGTTTCCCATATTGGAACACCCTCCAGCTCTGTAACCTGAACCTGGGAGAGCGGGTGAGACATGCTCAGAGAGAACAAGGGTGAGTGATGAAGACATGGAGACAGGCAGTGAGTGAGCAGGAAAACAACTCATCCGTCATACTTAACGCAGAGCATTCACTCGGGGCCAATTCCAGGCAGACGTGCCGGTTGGCGTTGGGTCCACGCCAAGGAGAAATCGGGATCTCTCAGCTAAATGGCCTTGCATCTGGTCCAGTCGCCTAAGACACTCAGAAAACGCCGCCAGCCCCAGGGCGAAAGGCCTGCACGAAGCGCCCAGGGACAGCGGGTCTTGCCCTCTGCGGAATGAACATGAGGGAGAACTGGCCACGGGGAAGTTCTTTACTCTGAGATTCGGCTTTTGGAGGCTGGTTTGCTCAAAACCAGGAATAAAAGTCTGGACTGGGGTGGGCCCAAGGAGGCATCTGTCTTTGCCCATTCACGGATACCTGGGGAGGGCGCAGCCACTCAGACTGCATCAGGGCTGCTGCCGAGGAGGCACAGATTCTCCAGTGGACCAGGCTGGGACCCCCAGGGAGCCTGAGGGGCATGCCGGGACCAGGCTCAATTCCCCTATCAATGACTATCATCCGGAAAACAGTGGCCACCTCACTGTAGGACTTTTAATGCCACTTCTTTTTCTTTTCCCAAGACTTTATTTATTTTTGGGCAAATATATTTTTATTGATTTTAGAGAGGAAGGGAAAGGGAGAGAGAGAAACATCAATAATGAGAAAGAATCATTGACCACCTGCCTCCTCAACGCCCCCTACTGGGGATCGAGCCAGAAACCCGGGCATGTGCCCCGACCCGGAATCGAACCCTGACCTCCTGGTTCATAGGTCAACGCTCAATCACTGAGCCACACCGGCCGGGCCTATGCCACTTCCTGCTGACTCGTCTCCACAGCGCTGGTGACTGTGCACCTCCTGTGGTCATTTCCATCCCTGCGTGCTGTCTCCTGCACGAGGACGTAAGCTCAGGGAGGCAGGGAGCCCACAGCCTGTGTTGTGGACCAGTGCCGGCTCCTGGTAAGACCTCGGCAAATGCCTGAAAAAGATGCACTAGCCCCTGGGACAGCACTCCATGTCTGACCCCCTGGGCCAGTCCAAGTCACCTGGATGCTGAGGCTCTGGGACTCCAGGTGGGGTAAGGTGACGTTCTTGTAATCACCTCCTGTCTCTCGAACCAGGTGGAGGTCCTGGCGCAGGTACTTCTGCAGGTGCTTCTCTGTGGCTGGGTAAACCACGGTTGTCTTTACATCTGCAATGACACAACACGGCCCACTCTGCACAGCTGTGCCACACTCTGGTCCCCACCACGGCAAGGAGACGACTTCTGCCGCCTCTGAGGCTCTCGTCACCTGTGACCCACTCCCACAGGGCCTTGTGCCACCGAATTCATAGGCTGGGCCACACTCAGAATCTGGGAAACTCATCACCCACTCCTCAGCCTTCCCCTCTATCACATACCAATTCCTAGGTATGTGGGTTTCTGGACCCGGAGCTGAAAATCGGATTTAAAGCCAAGCAGTCCTCTTAACGCCCAGCAGTGCGGGCCAGCACTGTGATCAAAGGCATGGGCCCAGAAGCTGACTGAAGTCAAGTCCTGGCTGTCCTGCTCCTTCCTTGGGACCCGGATGCCAGTCCGGTTACTTAACCTCTCCCATGCCCCTACGTCCCCATCTGCCACCTGAGAACAATAGCTCCTATGTCCTAGGATTGGGATGATTAAGCAAGTTAATACCAGTGAAGCACTTAGAACAATGTCTGACACACAGTCAATATTTACTCTGGCTACTTTATTTATTTTCTTTTTTTAGAGAGGGGAGGGAGAGGGACAGAGGGACAGAGGGAGGAAGGGAGAGAGAGAGAGAGAGAGAGAGAGAGAGAGAGAGAGAGAGAGAGAGATGAGAGTTACAGTGAATGGCTACCTCCCATATGTGCCCTGACTGGGAATAAAACCCTCGACCTTCCATGCACAGGGAGACGCTCCCACAGCGGAGCCCCGCCGGCCAGGGCATGCTGGCTGTCTTTAATCCTGGTTTCTCGACCTGGATGCCACCACCACTCTGGCCCCTCTGATTCTCTGCTGTGGCTCTCTGTGCACTGCAGGGTGGTTAGCTAGTCAAACGAAAACTCTCTCCACTTGTGACGACCAAACACGTCTCCAGGCGTTGCCAAATGTCCCCAGATAGAACTGCCCCAGTTGAGAACCACGGTTTCCCCCGGAAGGAAGGGTGTCGTTTTCCTGAACAGACTCTAGCCTAGGGTCCTGGTCCAGGATCACCTGGTTTGGGTGAAATCCCTTTATCTCTAATAACGTCTGCTACAACTGTTGTCACTACTCTAACATTTACACAGGGGTGGGCAAACGTAGGTGCATAGTGGATTCTTATATTATTTATGAATTATTGTTACTTATTTGTATTATTTGTCTTTTTCCATACAGACAGCTGTAAACCTACCTTCGCCCGCCCCTGTATATGGCGCTTCAACAAAGATGCTAGGGGCAGGAAAGGAAACGGGGTTTAACTTCCGTGGCTGTTTCTCAAAAGGCCTGCGGCCTCCCTGACCCTTACTCTAGGTTCAGAGGTGCCCGTCCAAGGACGCAGAGCGGAGCCCTGCAGGCGCACTGAACACTCCAGTAAACTCTCACTCGCCTGCACACCTAGCACCCAGCTTCCACTCGCACTTGGTCCGAGGAGGGTGGTGATTTTGACCCCCGTCTCACAGGGGAGTGGAAGCGCTGATGGGATCCCAGACGAACCCCCCGTCACACTGGGAGGTCTGGCAGAGCAAGCTGGAGCCTGGCCTTCCCTCCCTACAGTCAGTGCTGTAGCCTGTACTGTCTGAGACCTGCTGAAAGCCTACTACTGTCTTCCAACAGCCCAGGGGGGTGTCCGCAGCGCTACACCAAGCACATGGCCTCTGGTGAGGACCAAAGGCCCTACTGCGCCAGCTCGACGCTGGAGAAGGCAGGCACAGACACACGGGACCCAGCTGGCTCGTGGCGCTCCGCTTACTGGCCATGCCACTGGCTGGGTGTGTTACTTAACCTCCCAGACTCCGTTTCCTCACCTGTTAAAGGTGCTCATAAAACCTGCCCCACAGCGTTGCTCACACTAAACAGCATGTGCCGTCTGGACCGCTGGGATGCTCAGTGAATACCAGCCTGCGTCCTGGGAATTTGCACTGGACCCTGGAGGGAGGCGGCAGCAAAGGCTGTTCAGTGCTTCTCACTCCCACCGCTCTACCAGCCCAGGGTCATAGCCAGAGGTCAACACGCCAGGAGCCAAAGAGGCAGGGACTGCCTGAAATAGGTGGGATGGCACCGCGGGGCCCCCGGCAGTGGGCTCTGGGAGAAAACAGATTCCGGCAGCAATTGGCCTGGGTTCAAATCCTGACTGCACTTAGTAGCAGAGTAACCTTGGGCTGTTGTGAGACTCAATGAGCAGGAAGGAGATGGGTGCATTCAGAGAGAGTCCCTCCCCCAACAGGAAAGGGCCCCAGTGCCAGCCCTCTCTCTTGGGTTCGTAGTTATTCCAGTTTCCTGGGCTGAGCCTGGGGAGGAAAACCACGAGGCATGGTGCTCCCTCTGCGTGGGGGAGGTGGACGGAGACAAAGGCAGAACTGATGTTGGAGAACAGCCTAGCCTCTTGGCAATGGACACGCAGCCTGTGCTCACAGTCTGGGGCTCCCTGGCTGCTCCAGATCAGAAAGTGCTGGGCCCCCAAGCATGCCCCTGTCTGCCAAGGCTTGTCAAAGACCGCCCCGCCACCCAGGGTGCTGGGGAAACGGGCACCTCACGGGGCCAGCCCCTGCTAGCCTCCTGCTGTCCTTCCTTCCCTGGATGCAGGAACTCCTGCCGGGATGCAGAAACCCACCGTGTATCAAGGCCCTCAGAGCCAATCACGGGGGGCCGGCCTCACACAGACCACCATAAGCCTGGCCCTCACATGCTGGCCAACAGCTCAGGGAGGCGTCCACAGTGCAATGCCAAGCACATGGTGGGCTGGGGCTAGCTGAGTGCGTATCCTCCTGAGGGCCTGACTCCCTCAGACCTGGACTGTCTGCTGGCTCCCTATCATGGTCAACACGGCCCTCCATCACCGTGCCAGGACCTCTCCCAAACTCATGTACCCCCGTCCCTGATCTCTGCTCCAGCCAAACCGATCTCCTTCCACTTCCACTAAATCACATCAAGCGTGTGCGCATTTCTAGGCCTTATCACCGGGGTCTCTGCCCAGGGGTCAGAGAGCTTGCACAGCCCTGGCTAGAGCAGCACCCTTAGCTCATCACTGTCTCCCTCACTCATCACCACCTGATAAGAGAGGCAGACTGTCTGACTGCCCATTATAATGCACCTTCCAGGAGACAAAAATTTCATTTTGTCTAACTTTCCGTTTTTTATCATTTTATCCCCAGCACCTGGGATAGCACTGGCCACAGTAAGCACTCAACAAATACTTAATGACCAAATGAATAAATGAAGCTGGCCTTTTCAGACTTTAAACCCAGGAAGAGGATTTTTGTCCCAAATGGAAAAAAACCTCTGATAAGAATCAATGTAAGTTTTCCAATGGCGAACTCTGTTGTTTACCTAAATGCCAATCAAGGTGTTGACTGCAACTGAACTTCCCAAGGAGTTTGGCAAGCCCGGGCCCTCATGTGCTGGATCAATAAATACCCAATAAATGTCAAACCACTGTGTGGGAATAAATACACTGAGAGCAGGATACCCATGCACAGCCTCAAAATATCTCCCCACGGATTACCTACTAATTACAAAGGGAAAATACCAAGTGATCAAAGTTAACAGCGCTCCTAAGGGAAAACTGACACCTCGTGCCTCGTGAGGGATGTGCCGTGCTGTTCTGCCAAGAACAGTCGGAATCCAATCGTGAGGAAATATCAGCAAACCCAGATCCAGGGACATTCCACAAATGAGCAGCTTTACAACTCTTCCTAAGTGTCAGTTAGGAAAGGCAGCCTGGCTGGCGTGGCTCAGTGGTTGAGCGTTGACCTACGAACCAGGAGGTCACAGTTCCATTTGTGGTCTGGGCCCATGCCCGGGTTGCAGGCTCAATCCCCAGTGTGTGGCCAATCAATGATTCTCATCACTGAAGTGTCTCTCTCTCCCTCTCTCTGAAATTAAAAAGAAAAAAAAGGCTGATGAGCTGATGGACATAGATGAGTTCACCTGGAGCTTATTTTAGGACTAGAGGCCCAGTGCACAAATTCGTGCATGGGTGGGGTCCCTCGGCCTGGCTGGCAATTGGGGCTGATGGTGGGGTGGGGAGGGCGTGGGAGGTTGGCGGGCCAGCCACCCGTGGGAGGGACCCCAGCTCCTGCATTGAGCATCTGCCCCCTAGTGGTCAGTATGCGTCATAGCAACCAGTCGAGCAGTCATTTGGTTGCTTAGGTGACAGAACCTCCAGTAATTTGAATCCTTCCTCTTGGGCTGGTCAGGTTCAGCACAGGCCACTCCTCCAGTTCCACAGACAGAGGCATAAAGGATTGGCTGACAGCTCTGTACATGGAGGAGGAGGGTATGGGGTCATCTCAACCTTCAATATCTGATTTTTAAGATTGATTTTAGAAAGAGAGAGGAAGGGGAGGAGAGGTAGAGAGAGGTGAGAGGGTGTATGAAAGGGGAGGGGGCATCAAGTTGTTGTCTCACTTATTTATGCATTCATTGGTTGATACTTCTATGTGCCCTGACCAGAGATCGAGCCTGTAACCCTGGTGTATCAGGATGATGCTCTAATTAACTGGGCTTCCCGGCCAGGGCCTTGAGCAGCATTTGTTATATTTTCTAAAACAAATATACTAAAAATAGAAAAATAAGCCCAAGGTCACAGTGGTAGAGCTGAGATTTGAACCCAAGCAGACTGGCTCCTCTATGCAACACGCTTTCCCGATGCCACAGGGCCACCCTCCTTCAGGCCCTTTCCTAAGACACCACCCCGCAGCCATGTTCTCCAAGCAGCAGCCTCTCAGACAGGAGAGACACCATGAGTCCCAACCCCTTCGAGACACGTACACCAGTCGGCAAAACCAAAGGCGTGATGAGGTGCCAGAGGGACTGAGGCTGCACTCTGGGAGGTCTGGGAGCACGAGAGCCAGAGGCCAGCAGCCGCAGCGATGCCCAGTGCTCGCTGCCAGCCTCCTGGGAAGTGCAGCGAAGCAGAGGCCGCTCCCTCATCTCTGGAGGGCTGTCTGAGGAGCCGTGTCACGGGGGCACGGCTGCCAGACAATGGG